CAACTATTTTGAAAATTTCCATGAATGATTAATATAATACTAAAATGTATGTAAACGTAAAACTACAATTCTTGGGAAAAGTGGGGTTTTGTTTTTATCATGGTGGGAGCGGGGGTTTTTGACACAATGGTTGGTGGGACATAAGCAGAAACAACTCGAGAAGGGTGCGGGGTTCGGGGCTAATCGGCCTGTGTGGGGGCCCTGCCCCTGGATGCGAGGAACCCCGCGGCAGATTCGGTGGAGCCGGGGGTAGGGGGCTGCTGAGCAACCGGATGTGAAGCTGGCAGCAGCGTGGATTCGCTGCGGCCGCTCCGCCCATCTCCGCAGGGCCCCCCAAAGCACGGGGCCCGGGGTGGTTACCCCGATTCGCACCCCCTAGGGATGGCCCTGAGCGTAAGGTGCAAAAGGTTGAGAACTGCTGATCTAGACCAGCAGTTCCCAAACTCTGACAGATTGAACATCACCAATTAAAAACAATACAACCTTAAGTATCACCAGCACATTTTTGTCTCATAAAGTAATTATACTAAATCTGTTAACACGTACCACTGACAGGTTGTCTGCATACCACTGGTGATACCTGTGCTGCAGATTGGGAACTGCTGATCTAGTTGGGGCCGGTCCTGCTTTGAGCAGGGGTTTGGGCTAGATGCCCTCCCGAGGTCTGTTCCAGCCCTCATTTTCTATGATCATCACAATAGCTGTTGTTATCGTCATTGCCACCATTCTGGCTCCCGAGTCCACTCTGGGAAGTGGCCCTCTCCCAAGACTACCGGAATGTGGTTTCTTGGTGGAGGTGATCGCTGACTAAAGAGCTGAACACAAGCCGTGGTAACTGAAGACAAGTAGTTGACTGCAGGCAGGCGGGGGGCCCTTCCTGCCTGTTCCACTTCTGAAAGTTTCAATTTCATTTTGGTGCATTGCAAGACCTGGTTCCTATTACAAGGGACCTGGTCAGTGAGTTGTTTATTAGACTAACTTCACTGCAGGGGTTGTACTGTATTGCTGATGTAAGTTGTTTTTACTCCTTTGGTTTTAAACTGAAACACAGGGCAGGTTACTACTAAGTTTCAGCTGTTGAGCTCATGAGAAAGTGAATTTATGGAATATTGATTAAAAAATTGCTGTTGGGATTGTCCTTGGTGATTGACCTTTAATTCTAATTATTTCCTCTTCATTTATTCTCTAGACATGTTGTTGTTATGAACTAGACTCTCAGAAACCAGTTAGCCTTCTAGGAAAAAAAGCAGAGAAAAGGCTGGGTTATACTGAGAGTGTGTTTTCAAGTGCACACAAACCTGTATGTAGGATGTGGTGTTATAAGGAGTTTTATTAATTCTTCAGTGTAATATCTTCTATATATGAAACCAGAGATATAATTAAAAGAACGCACAATTATGGGTGGAAGAAAGAAGGGATATGACTTTCGCTGTTGCTTTTGTTTTTTGGGTTTGTTTTTTGTTTAAAGACCTCCTCTTCTGTATGTGAAATTAAATTAAATGAAAGTGAGAGCTTTAGGCAGATTGAAACTATTTTAACACTTGTGGCTAGAGAGACTTTCAGCTTAAATGTCCAATAAGGAGACTGTTAAACACATAATATTGTTTTTGTTGTTTCCTTGGCACATGAAATTGATCTGAAATATACAATAGACAATTGGAGTTCTCTTTTTGTGTATCTGTTTTGTATATTGTGCTAAAGGCATGGCAAAACTCCTACATTTTTAATAGGAAAAATAAACTCCACTCAATGTTATGACCTGTTTTACATGCTATTCTTGAAAACCAATAGTAAACCTGTTGCTTTTGTGGGTTTGTATTTTTTTGTTTGCTTTTTGTATTTATTTAGTAATATATCAAATAGTTGTCTGAATCTGCAGTAGGCAACTTTTATTTTTAGGGGACAGTATCTAAAATTACTAAATATCACAATACTCAAACTTCCAGACTAGGCTGTCATTGCAACTGGATTATATTTAATACATATAGAATTTAGAAGTTGGTAGTTTACTGGACTTCAAAATTTCCTTTTCTTCTATGTCATTCAAAAAGAAACATGGGGAGGGAGATAGAAATACACCACATGCATGGTCACTCACAGACTTTGTGCTCTCTATTTCCCACTTTGCAGTAGCTCAGACTGTGCTAGTAGGGCTCTGCAGTTGCTGTCATTCATATTGTCTTAACTGCTCGGGTCTATGACTGTTCCAAATGTTAGTAAATTGATGTTGCTTTTTAACACATGCTTTTGTGTAGTAATAAAGATAAGGAAACTGTATGGCCCTTCTTGGCACCATGTTTTTTTTCCCTCTTGCAGATTTTTTTTTCTAAGAGGGGTGGTTAGCTATATCAATCTGACATCAGGTAGAAGGCAGGGCAACATAGGGTAGTACATAAAGGCTAACTGATTCAGAACGGTGTAAGTTTTCATAAGTGACAGCCTGTTTTGTCAGATGCTTACATCTTTAAGGTGCTACCTTGCTCTGCCGTCTACCTAATGGCTTTAAGAAGGGTCAAAGTAACCTGTTCTGGTGTCTTACTCATGCTTCTAAGTAAGCATATGCAGGATCTTGGTGTAAACATAAAATATGTGATGTCTAAATTTTCTGTAACTAATTCTTTCAATTAAATTAATACATTTTAATGTGTTGCAAACTTAAAAAATGAAGTTTTCAGACTTCATTTTTTCTGTTAAATTAAGCAAAAGTACAACTTTATATTTCCATCTTAACATAACAGTTGCTTTCCTGGCTTGATGTGCTAGTGTCCAGTTTTTTTAATATCTACATTGGACAAGTTCATTCCTGTGGATGTGTGTGAGTTTTTATTATTTGTTTGTTATTCTTTTCCAAAGACTTGTGCCTTTCCCAAACCAGACAGGTGATAGATAGCAGTTTAATCTTGCCCTCCCCCTCTTGAAATAAAGTTCTTTCTACCTTTTACTGGGCTAGAAAAAACAGGGTTTTTTAGTGGGTTAAAAATAAAGAAACTAATGCCAAATCTGGCTCTTCATGTTATGCTCAAAAGAATAAACTATAAGTGGGGAGGTTTTGTGTTGGTTTTTTTTTTTTTTTTTACCAAATCCAATTTTTTGTACTACGACTACTTTTTTGCATCCTGTTTGACCACTTAAAATGATACTTTTTCACTGTGTTGAAATCAACGTAAACAGAAAATATCTTTGTCCTGTTTAAAATGGTGCTTTCTAAAAATATATTTATTTTTTTCAAAAAATCTTGAGAAGAGAGAATTTTGGGGGGATATTTAAAAGAAACTGCCTGTGTTTCCTTCTATATTCAAGGCAAAACTGTTCATACTGGTCCTGGATAGTATCTTTGTTTTTTGAAATCGGCATTTTTCTAGTAGAATTTTCTTTAAAAGTAAAAATAAATAAATTAAAGGTATGGATTGGCACAGAAGAACATTTTTTTTATTGGTGAGGATGTTTGCAAGGAGACCTAATAAGTCACTTCTATTTATGATTCTGTGAAACAAATAATGTAGATCCCTTATATGGAAGAATTCCTCTTCTGAAGGAACAGAAGGAAGGCAATTGACTCCATTCACATGAGTGTGTTCTGAAGCACATAGTTGGAAAAGGAAATGTGATACCTCAAGTTCACATTTCCATTAGAACACAATGGAAAATAGAGTTCATTATTTCAAGTACTGGATTTATTCAAGCACTACAATGGTCTTAATATATCAACTGTAGATAACATCTGATAAAAGATAAATGATGTAAATCTATTCTTTCTGGGCCAGTTGAAGTATTTTTGCTTGATATTTGTTGCCTACCTGTTCTCTGTGTATTGAATATAATGTTTATTTGCTTAAAAACTAGTGAATTGTAGCAGTGATAGGAGCATCAGCTGTATTTGCTCTTATAGCTATCATTACAGTAGTCTACACACCAAACTTTGAACCTGTCGGATGAGAGCTTAGACTTCTGGACCCATTTTTACCTTAGTGCATGTTAAATTTGAAGGTTTCGTTATACATGGAGCAAAACATGTTG